GTATACAATCCAACATTTTTCAGTCGGGTCATCTGGACAGTTTCTTTGTTGTGCTGAAACGTTTCGCCTTCAGTCCGGAAGGCTTCATCAGTCAAGGAAACAAAATGAACAAAATTATGATGAAGCCATCTGGATTGAAGGTGAAATGTTTCAGAAAAAAAAAAAGAAACTGTCCAGATGACCTGACTGAAAAATGTTGGATTGTATACCTGGATTATTGAGCATGGACTTTGTTGTTTTCAACAAGAAAGAGCAATGATTATACCTTTGAAAGTTTTTATTTAACACAAAGTAAAACCAATGTGTCATTTTAACTGCAGTAAACACAGTTAAGTAAAAACTGTCTGCCTGAAAAAAGCAGCATTACACACAACTAACAAAGGAATAGATCATTTCAACTCCAGTTTCTCATCAACTCTAGTTAAAACACTCTCTAGTCAACCTTGTAATGGGTCAAAAGTGAACGACATTTTAACTTCCTGACACCATTTTCAAAACTTGGACCCGAGTGTCGAGACATTTGGAGACATCTCTTGTCTCCTAACATCATGAACTGACACATTTTAATGTTGCAGCAAGAATTCCTTGTTCAAGTTCAGAAGAAGTTGCTTTTCAACGTTTTTGAGTCCAGTCTGGGTTTTTTTTGGGAGAGAGAATCTGTCCTACTGTACTGAACAGTCTTTCAATTGTCTTTCAATTGTCTTTCAATTGTCTTTCAATAATCTTTCAATAAGGTCATGGGTGGTGCGTATCTTCTGGCTGACTCTCTGCGAGGGAATCATTTTGGGTGTGTTAGCGGTGCTGTGGGTGCACCCGGCTCAATGAAATGTACGTCATTGGTCCAGCTCTTCTTGAAGGAGGGTCTAAAGTTACCTCCCACTTTGCAGTGATTCAATGGACCAGCCCCCCTCCCACCATTGGTTACTTTCAAACTAACGAACAAATCAATAAACTGCAACGTGAATGTAACTTGTAACACAACGCATTATAGAAATGTAGTCTAGTAGAAAGTACAGATACTTGATGTAAAATGTAGTGGAGTAAAAGTCGAAAGTACTCACGTTTAACTCTACTGAAGTAAAGTACAGATGCATGAAAGTACAAGTACAGTATCCTGATGCATGCTCAATAATCCAGGTAGAAAAATCTAAATAAAAGTTCAATCTGGTCCTCTGGACATTCAAAAAACAAAACAAAGCAAAACAACAAAAAAATGTAGAAACGTTTCGTCTCTCATCCGAAAGACTTCCTCAGACTGAGGTGCTGTATTCAGCTCAGTCTCTTAAATAGCACCTTCTCAGAGTGGATCAGTGTGCTAATGATCCATTGTTAGTCCGATGGTCCTTGATCATGTGAGCAACTGGTTTTGATTGTCAGCAGCAAACTGGTTGATCCACTCTGAGAAGGTGCTATTTATAAGACTGAGCTGAATACAGCACCTCAGACTGAGGAAGTCTTTTGGATGAGAGACGAAACGTTTCTACATTTTTTTGTTGTTTTGTTTTTTGAATGTCCAGAGGACCAGATTGAACTTTTTTAGATACAAGTACAGTAATGAAGTACTTGTACTTAGCTACATCCCACCACTGCACTCAGATATTCACGGCGTCCACCATCCATTAAAACTCCTGCGTACAAAATCAAATCGATTTACTTCTGTAAACTGCGATCATCAGCTCCGTCTACTGAGCAGTACGAGCTGTAACCTCT